AGGGCGGGGCGCGGGGCGCGGGGCGGAGCGCGGCAGTCATACGTACTCTTGCCGGGGCCGGGCTGCGTTTTCCAATTCCTGGTCCCCGTGCTGGCCCTGCGACAGAACTGTTTCTTCGGCGTGAACAAATCCGTGCCGTTGACGGTCTTGCAGGAGGAGTGTATCGCCTTGTCGACGATGGCGCGGGAGACCTCGTCGCCGGTGAGGGGCGCGGAGTAGGTGCGGCCGTGCCCTATCCGGCCCGGCTCTTGGAATAGCGGATACCCGGTGGGGAGGGACTCGGTCCTATGATGCTTTAGCAGCCGGCCCGGGTTCTCGGGCCTGTCGATTAGTGGGTTATTCGCCAGCTGATTGTCGGCTGCGGAAGACATGAGAAGCTACACGTAAACACATGGCACCAAGCGACACCCGGTGCGGTGCGAGTTAGCTCAGCCTGGACGATGGTGCCTTGCTACCGAACTGCACAACAGACCTTACACTTTCTTGAAGATACGATTCACTAAACGAATTTTACGGTTTTTGCACAAAAAAATAATTAATATATCGCCCCCGCGAATTATTAATTTTTACCCTCAAACCAATCAGAAATTAACGTTCACACTGCATACAAAAAACACCATCGTCCATAATGTAGTTACTGTTTTAGTGTAGATGTGACAAGTGGACAGTGACAAGGCCTTGTCACACCTGCGTGTTACTCGAGTGCTGCGATGTAATGACACGATCTCATCTGACACACTGACACGGTCAATGTGACACACACCATCACCGACTTGCATGCAAAAATGTATTCAAACTTAATCTATACATCTTCAAATTGCAACACAATGCTAATGTGTTTCAAAATATTTACATACATATAATAAAAAATTGTATTATATCTTTATTCAACTACTTTCAGTACTTGCTTTCATCTTTTATTAAATGTTTCATCAAAGTAAATAAACACATAAATACGCCCTACGTATGTACAAATGTTGTTTTTATGGTCCTTTGAGCAGGATAATGTAGGTTAGGATGTTAATGTTTAGTAAAAGCGTTATGTTACAAACAAATTATCCATTCGTATACTTATATTTTCCCGAATATGCAAAGTACAGTCAGCTGCATTAATATGTATACATTTACAACGATTCAGAAACTTGTATATGTCTTGGGTTTCAAAAATAGTACACTCTTGTCAGTCTGTATGCTTTGGATTATGAATACAAGTCATTGACAAATAAGTGCATATACATATTAAAAACACAAAGCCTGTACAAGTTTCTAAAATGATAGTAATGTATTCATATTCATGCAGCTGACTGTACACTCAATGTGTAAGAGAAAAGCAAAGTTATTAAAACCGACAAGGTCTCGATAGACGATGTATACATAATCGGAGTATGGTAGAGATAATTTTTTTACATACATTTAAATACGAATAAATTCATATCGAAATTATGTATCAAAGCTGCAATCAAAAGCCCTCATCCACCTAAATTAAAGCATTCAAGGTGACTTTTAGTGAAAGCTGATAATAAACTTTTAGTTTATCAATATTGAACAGTTGCCAGATCCATTCAAATTAATAATCAAAGTTCATTGATGGTGTCAAGGTGCATGGACATTGTGCAAGAATATGAACAAATTATCCTTAAAGTCTGATGAGATGAAGGAATGAAAAAATATTGTCTACAACATACGATTACTTTAAGTAATGCTTGAGAGGAACAGTTTTTGTAATACAGACAAGCCAATCCAGTTTTCACACTATATCTAAAAAGAATGTTAGTATTAGAAGACATAAATATCCATAACCGGTAAAGCATGAGATATCAAGAGATTCCTAAAGAGTAATAAAATTCGTACATACGAATGTATGGTTAGTTGAAAATGATTTAGACGACGCATTTCTCTTTGTACCAGAAATTACTTAATTCTCCTAACATAAAACAAACATCAAATATCACCTAATTGAGCCTCTCCTAAATCATTAAAAATCTTTTAATGCAACAACATTAATTCAAGACATAGGAGTAAACATTCAAACATACACATCCATACACAAATCATGCGCACTTCATACAACAACACGAATTCACATATAAACAATATAAAAGGAACAATTAGATCATGCTTAAAGAAGTACACACGAAATGCGTGATGATATCCTGATGAGCTTAAAGGCAATTCCCCAGCACTTTATGATTGCAAAGCCATGATCAAGGAATGGGGACGGCAGAGTCCCAATTGAAGAGGTTTCGTGATATCGTACCATTGTTCGTAGTGAAGGGTGCGAGTGCCGCGGCTGAGTCCTCTATGGAGTAGGTGGCGGAACACACGCACTGTCTTATACACGAGCCAACGCACAGGCCCTTCTCTGTAATACATTGAGCCCATGTACCTCTACTACATATACCCATACCACGAGAACAGTTACATCTCCATATATAACAGAATTAATGTGTCATACACTCAGATACATAGACTATTTATATATATATATATATATGTTAATTTTGTAGTATATATCCCTGAATTTTGACTTTTTTATTGTTACAATGCAAAGGGGACAGAGGACAACAGATCCGCAACCAAATATTACTACAACTAATCTACAAAGAAAACATTTCTAATCTACTATTAACAATTGCAACGAATAAATACATAAACATTATATAAAAATGTATATATTTAAATTTCTATTTACTATTCACTTATTCGTTACAAAAGAGTTAAGAATATGTTAGTCAAATTGAATAAAACAACCATTGACGTACAACTCGGATACATGAATGGCTGTAATTTTTACGTATAGGTCGCAAATATCTTAAGCAAATTAGCACAAAACTCTTTATATTAGGAAGATTACTACATGTAAGCGTGTTTGCGAACTATATGCCAACACTGGGCTTAAATACTAACTACTTGTTGCAATGTATGTATGTATGTGTGGGTCATGTCACGAGTACAAAGATAACTTGAAGTCTGTTCATTGTACAATGTTACACACAAAGATCAACTCTCATTGGTTATCTACAATAAATAAAATTAGTGTGTCTGTATGTCATATAAAAAAAATGTATTTCGTGAACATGCTGCATGTGCTTTACTAAGAATGAACAATATTTTTTTTTTATTTTTTGTCTGTATGTACGCTCCGCTAAAAGTCGCGGAGCGCCCTCTAGTATATGAATAGAAAATTAACTAAATATTAGTGATAAAACTTGCATCCCTTTTACTATTGTAAATGATAAATTATTTTAAACTTAGTACCCTGTTGTCTTATATTTATAGTATAGGAGCGAAGAAAATTAAGTTTTTGGTTGCATTCGAATATTTAGTAAAATTGAATTATTCAACAAAAATATTATTAAGATATATTAGTGTTATAATTACGCATATTGCATAATCATAAAACTGCTTAATAACATTTTCATTTGCGTAAATAAATAAAACTGAGCAAGTTTGCATTTATGTATAACATGTGAACAAAATATTGTGACTTAATTTTTCCTAACATTATAAATAGTCCGCATCATGTCTTATCATTTATTTGAAAAAAAAAACTAATATTTTTACGATACGATTAAACTTTAAAGTAAAGTTATAGACATATTCCTCTACCGTACTCAGAGTAGCTAAATAGCTACTAAAGCAGTCCCTTGGTGACAATTTAAAGATTAAATTTACACTAATGAACCCTCTTAGTCACCATTAAGCGACTGAGTAGTCGTAAATATATAACAAACACTTATAATTTATGGATCGGAATATGGATAGCGATAGCATTACCATTGTAGAGTCCGGCGCGCCCCCTGCCGTCGGAGTATGTCTGTCGGCGCGCGGGCAGGGGGTTGGTGCCGTCCAGCAGGGAATTCTTGCTCAGGATTATGTGGTCCTTCTCGTTCTCCGTCTCCTTCGCACAGTTCCTCATCGCGCTGCAAATATTACATTATAAAATCACTGCTTTATTAAGCTACTAGCTGTTAACAACTTGGTCCGTGTCGATGTCAAGCGGGAATAGTGTTCACATTAGTGAAGGAATAGTGCTCATTTAATGCAAACAAACAATCTTGCCTCTTTATAATCTTATATATAAAATTTTCGTGTCACAATTATCGTTCCCATACTCCTCCGAAACGGCTTGACCGATACTCATGAAATTTTGTGACCATATTGAGTAGGTCTGAGAATCGGCCAACATCTATTTTTAATCTCGCGCGGACGGAGTCGCGAGCGACAGCTAGTATAGTTTACATTTTAAAATCACTGCTTCGTTATACATTAGCGTCTTGAAGTGAGCCATTCAGACAATTTAATTTGTTTGTTTCACCTGTAAGTTATCTGCTTTAGAAGATTATACGGCGATTGTCTATCGCTAATATCGTAATTAAAGTAACCTGTTTTAAAGCTATATGGGTTAACTCACTGGTATATCGTGGAGTGCATGCTCTGCGCTATGTTAGAATCCTCCGAGTGCATCCAGAGCTCGCCGGCGCCGGTCGCAGTCTGCCGCCCCACCTCCATGTAGAAGAAGCACTCCGAATCGCCGCATCTACACACGCAAGTACATTTCTCATGCTAAAACTACACTCAAGATGATGGTCTGTCGTCGTTGGACGACGCAAACTATATTTCGGTCTGTTCTAAACCAGAAACAATGAAAATACTCTTTAAAAATGGATTTCTTTTGCGATGATCAAGATTTATGTGTTTATCAGATTAGTGGTTACCTTCTGATGTTCTTGAGAGAGTACTCGACACGCTCCGGTATTCCGAGGTCGCTGATAATATTGTTGTGACTCTTAATCTTAACGAGGGTGAGAGTCTTGTCCGTGAGGCACAGGTTGTACAGCCCCTGGATACTCTTCGACGCACCCAGACCCTTCTTCTGCACGTTCACTTGCCACACGTGTTCTACAACGTAACATTACAAAATTATTAAAAAAAATACATTCGTAGTTTAGAATACAAAACAATCTAAACGAAAAAGAAATACACGTGGAATCTAGACTGTTTCTTTCCATCTCTGTCAAATTAAAAAGCTCGTAAAAATATGTATAATATAAATACTAGCGGACCCGACAGACGTTGTCCTGTCTACACGTCTTTAATTTGAATAAATTAATATGAAGTTATTATTTGATGAGAATTGTGAATCTAAACCATTCCCAGATCCCCTTGAACACACACAAAAAAAATCATCAAAATCGGTCCAGTCGTTTGAGAGAAGTTCAGTGACATACACACTCACAGAAGAATTATATATATATATATATAGAGATGTAACATTATTTATATGTATATTTACATATATCTACTAATAATATATGAAAGTTTTTTTTTATAATAACCAATAGGATTTGCTTAATGTCATACAAAGGGTGCACCTGAGTTCAATTTATCCTTTTAACATGTAATACGCAGAATGTGCAGTGGAAATCTGTATAATAATACAATGACATCATTAATCATTTATTAATTGGTGTCAAAACAACAGCGACCCGGCGCAACCAACATTGTGTCAGACGACTTGTTTTCTTCAAACGAAATACGCAAACATCGCGTTTATACTTGATAAATACTAAAAATAGACAACATGGGAAAGCAATAACATTATAGAGATAAGTTAATAATATTCTAGTAAACAGATATAAGCAATTAATTTTACTTATTACAATCCATCATAATAAAATTTATTAACTGTGGATTTCCGAGACCAAAATTCCCATTTAAAACATGCCATCAAAGATATTGAGAGTAATGACGATGTACAGAGATTTTTGTCTCAGAAACCAACGGTTACTCATCTAAACACATATCTAGTTATAACCTTTCTAAAATAATAAATATAACAATAATTTAGCATAAATTCTGCCTACCCCTTTAGCGACGGACGTAAGCTGTGTTGTTTATAAATTCTTTAAAAATGAAATGTTTTCCTTTTTAAATATTCAAGTAAAAGGCGTCAAGCCATCAACATTCGCAACAATATTATTAATGCTTTAAAAGTTTCTCAGAAATAAACAACAAGATAAGTAAATTGTAATTATATCGAGATAAGCAAATGTAACTTAAGATCAAGGTAAGTAAAAATAATCCTTACTTAATTTGAATCAAGACGATAAAAATAAATAAAATTATTATGTCTCCAAGCACTTTAATTTTTTTGTCCGCGGCAAATTATGTTTAGGAAAAATGTAAGCTAAAAGTTAAATGAAAATGTTCCTTTTATAAATTTCGTTACATAAAATATTTCAAGAACTAAACAAAAGAATATTGATTACGACCTTATACATATTTGGCGAATCATTTACTTAAAATAGAAACAATAAAATCGACTTTAACCATATCTGTGGGCCCCCAATAAAGCTGTTAAACATAAGCATGTACTGAGAGTTCATTGAACCCGGTGGTGGAGTGAAAGTTCTCAGGTTCGAATGCGTATCAACTTAATATTATTTTCATCAACGTAACGAGAGCTGTACATTTTGGAGAACGCGTAATTAGCCTTTTGGGTCATTACAGTCTCGCACAAATTATATCCGGCATCGAACCTACGGCATCGAGACTCAAAACTACCACATTTAAAACCATGTGTATAAAAATGGATTCTAACTGTTGTTTATAAAATAATCACATAGTTTTCCTTTATTTAGCTTTTTCTTTAACCGACAAAATATAGATTGGGAATTCCCCGATCATAAACCTATTATGTTGCCTTCACCGAGGCAACCGAGGCGTTTGTTGTTTATGATTTAAAGGCGGAAAAATCTTAGTAACGGATAAATAAATGGATATTTCCATACTATAAGTATGGAAAGCCACCTCGGTTATTGTTCCGTTTTCATATTATCCTTTTTAAAAATATTACGATTGATACCCATGATTACGTAATCATAACTATAGCTAAAATATAAGTAAAATAAAATATTTTGTTAGTTAACCTGCTAAATAATAGACATCACTTCAGCTATGACATCAATTAATTATTTTGTATGAATGATTTTAAAATTTCCTATTGTTTGTAAGATACCAATAGGTAAACGAATCTAAGTACGCGCAACTATTTTGACGTATTGTTGACGCATAAATATATTACCTCCGTGTGACGTGAAAAAAATTCTATGGAATACCTGTGGCGTAGTTGTGAAATTGCGCAATCATTTGTTTTTACGCATTCACTTATCAACGTACTTAATCTGTTAACGTATCGATAACAAAAAGCTACAATACTCGTATGACGATATAAGTTTTTCATAATAATCTCTACCATACACCATAGATTTAGATTTAAGATAATTTATGAACAAAAAACTTCTCTAAACCATAAACACCGATGTACATCAAAAAATCGCCAAAGGTTAGTTTTTAAAACAAGCAGGTGAATTTGAATATTGCAAGATAATAAATATAGTTACGCATAATCTTATTAAGTAATTTAGTTTTATAAAGGCAAAATAATTAGTGAATTTAAATTATAATAGTGTAGCAAGGACATTAAAGGTAAGGAGAATTCACAATAGATGCTTCAGAGGCAGGCATAACATAACAAGTCTAGTATTTTTCGTCGTCTAGGAGGCAGTTTCCTCATAGACATTACATGCATGCATAGTTGTAAATAATCAGGGAATCCTTAACACGATTCTACTAATGCGAAATAGCATAGAGTAACTTTAAGAGTAATTATAAATCTCTACTGATATATACTGAGTTTGTTTAAACGCGCTAATCTCAGGAACTACTGGTCCGATTTGAAAAAAAATTCTTTCGTTGGATAGTCCATTTATATAGGAAGGCTTCAGGCTGTATAACATAACGCTGCGACAAATAGTTTTTTTTAATTCTCGGGCGACACCTAGTGAAATATATTTGACTCTGGCGATGTGTGCGATTAGTCGTTCGGTCTAGTCCAGTAACGCGACAGCAAGACGTTGTTCGATTTTACAAAATGTTTTTAATATTTGAAATCACAAGCAATCAAATAGTTGATTTAAAGACGTAACTACATATCTTGTTGGTCTTATCTGGATTATGTATAGATCTCGCAACAATCTGAATTGAATTATAAAGACATATTAGGTCTTCATATCCGTTATATTGCATGACTAATATTTTTTGTTGTTATTTTCCTCTTGCAAAATTACTTATAACTTGTTATTGTCAATATCAATATTTACTTATCACTTGAATAGCCCCTGTGCTGTAGGTTAGCTGACAGCGCGGTATGAATCACTCGATCACCGATTCCTACAATTCCTAAAGTACTGTAGTAATTTGATCTATGACATATATGTATTAATCTATGAGTTAAAGATTAAATTAAATTAATTTTAAGGTATGAGAACATTTAACAGGCAATAGTCATATAAAAAACCAACAAGTCCAACTGTCTGACTACCCTAAGTCAATCAGGACGAGATAATAAAACTATAGTCGAATCACAATCACTCTCCAAATTGTGTTTATGGGATGACAATCACTAAGAAAAACTTTACCTTCTTGATAGACGGAAAAAAAACTTAGAAGATAATAGACACGACATGCTAGACGTTAAATCTTATCCTGTATTTGTCATACATACTCTATGGTAGCAAAAAGTCGAGTCAACTTTATTCTTACCAACTATTGCGGTCACAGAGGAGCGGCGGAACTGTTCGTTTGTCGTTGTTGTTTATTTTTTACATCGCTTCTGAGAACCGGCGATCCGCTGTCGACGTTTTCCTCGAAGGCGGATAGTTAAATCGGCAAATAAAATCGTAATTAACAATTTGATTGCCACCGATGATGGCGTTGGTAATGGTATTTCTCGTTACCAATAAAAAGTACACCCACGAATATCGTTTTGGGTGGTCCGAGTCTAGAAAAATGTAGTACTGACGAATCAAAGAGTAAGTCAAATCGTAGAAATAAAATCAAAATTGTAACATGAATGGAAAAGTCCAAATTCAGATTTTAAAGTAGATCTTAGAAACCATTCATATAAAAAGTGATAAACTGGAAAATAGATATTCATCGTAAAGAAACTTCGACTTTACAATTTATTATTAAAAACCCGCCTGGTATTATGCATATTCAAAAATAGCACTGATCATCAGGTGATCCAGTTGGTCGTTTGCCTATTCTATAAAAAACAACAAATAAAAAACTGTCGTCAAAGACTAAGAAGAGAGAAAAAAACAAGTCTAGCACTCATCATCCACGTGGTGGCGATTTGTTATTGAGCGATGACCTCGGCCGTGCCCGCCGGGGCCTCCGCAAAAAGCGAGCAGACACGGTCGCCCTACGCCGCCGCTACGCCGCACCGCACCGCGCCGCACCGCGCCGTGCGTGAATCATTAACAATTACATTGACCGCTTCTCTATAACAAATTACTCTAACGATTATTTTATGGAACCATAAGATATCCATACGGCCAAGGGTATTGCCAATTTATTACCCACTATAAAAGTTGTAACGAATATTATTAAGGAATTTGTATTTTAGTATCTGTATTATTTTTGTAAACGACTACAGGAATTGATAAATTACATAAATTGTATGTACGATGTACAAAAAACTTCTGTGTTTTGTACATCAGAACATCGGATTTCCCAAAAGTAAATGGTAGAAATTGCTAATAATATTTCCTGTTAGAAAAGTTCAGAAATCAGCAAATATCAAACTATTTTAAGAAAACACATCTCAGTTGCCCACGTTGTCTTATGTCCGCGAGGGAGTCGAGTTCAATCCCCGACGAGGGCCTCCGTGACTAAATGCTTGTTTTATTTGTAGACAGAGGTTTTCTATCAAGAAAATTCTATAGAGCTTTAAATTATTCACAGAATGATACATGGGAAAGTCTAATACTTATAAAAGCGAACGAAATATATATATATAAAAATTAATCCAATCTTTATTTTTGTGCACGACATTTAATTCAGAAAATAAAAATGTTAAAACCTAATAAGTATGTGGGATACGCTCGTGTAATGTTTTGGTTAAGACAAGTTAACATTTTAAGAAAATATAAACATATAATTGACAACTGCAACAAGTTGAATGGTTGCTGAAGAGCTGCGAACCAAGAAGGTCCAATGAGACCACATGATATCCATTTGATACCGAGGGTGAGGAAATGATCCCGTTTACATTGTGCACGAGGAACGCGCCCCCTGCACGACGCATAGCACGTCACAGCCGGCGGGCGCGCGCTGTTTGCTCTAGTGTCATTACCACGGCCCCATGAGGTCGATACACCGGCAGCCTTGAGCCTCCCCCCTAGCCGTTTCCACGATAACTTTTCCGCTAGCATCCGCTGCGTGCGCGTTGCGTCACGCGTTACGTCACGCGCGCGTCAGCACAACGTGGACATACACGCGCGGACGATCCCTCCAACCTCTTCAAATAAAACATAAGCACCCACGAAAATTAATCAATCAAAGTTTGAAGGCAGCTCATTTCTCTAATAAATATATCAAGCCCTTATAGACAGAACGTTAGTACAAAATTTATAAGTACTGCAATCCTTGTTATCAAACATCTCTTAACAGAGTACTTTTTTACTTTTTCAACGATTTCAACTTAGAATTAAAACATTTGTTTGGATAGATCCATTAAAAATAAACGGACAAGGTTTAAATACTGTCAACCATGGCATAAGAATCCAAAGCATACTAAACAAATACCAAATCAATGAAGTTATATCGCACACCTTTATATTGTAAATAACATAAAGTAATGGTAGGGATGAATTACGCTTCGCTAAAGGAAGACAATAATGAATGGTTACAAGAAGATATTTTCTTATTGTTATTTATAAAAATATCCATTTATAGCAGGAAGTTAAACAAAAGCAAAAAAAAACAATTGAAAAACATTGGCATTTAAGTTCAATGTTGAATGCAAAATGAGGTGTTTTGATAACATCCTTTCCTGTATACAATAATTGCAACACATCACAATATTTATAAAATGGACCTAAAAATATAGACTTTAGAGTTGATATTGCAATGAACATGACACGAGACAAGATAAATTCTTCATTGACTATTAATAATTTTAGTTATTTATTCTCATACTTACAATATCAGTAGGCAAGCTTTTGCTTTTCCTTACAAAAAATTAACATTTAAAGGTTTCTTTGGCAAATATGAATGTGTTTATTAAATTTTTTATTAGATTTATAGTATTCTTTTTGTGACATGAGCATATAATTTTGTCAAACTAACAGAAAAATAATGTTTTGTTTCAACAATTTTGGTTACTACAATTTGCTACTAGATAAATGGAAGAATAACACTGTTATACTTAATTAGTACTCTTCATAACATTAGACTACTAACCTAAAACCAGATACAAAAAAAAAATAACCGCAAAACATCTTTAATGACTGAGCAGCAGATATATATGTATATTATTGATATATAAAATTTATCATAATAATAACAACCATATTACTTAAGATTCTTGAACTTTATAAATTTTAAAATGCAAAAGCCATGCTACTTCGACTTTCACATCAAAATTAGTTAGAATATTAAATTAATCTCTGTATCTCTTGGTCATTGCATCAAATGCGTACCAATGGTAAAATTTTGTTTACTCTTTCTCTGACATGTTAATCTTTGTTAGGAGAAGTATCAAATATAAATATTCATAGTTAAGACAACCCTGTCAGCTAGTAAAATAATAAAAATATACATTTTACAAATAACCTCTCAAAATATATGAGAATGCAAGTAAAAAATAATCCTTGGCTGAGGATTTTTTTTTTAAGAAAATGTATTGTGAAAATGTTTTATAAAATTAACCCCACTAACTTGTGTTTCTTTTATAAAGAAAAAAAAAAAGAAATATAAATATTGACAATTCAATAATTCTTTCCTCAAAAATGTTGTAAGTAGCTAAATTAGATGCATTGTTGACATTTTGTTTAAACCCTCCATAAAATTATTGAATATAAAACCCCGCTGAATAAATATAACCTCTTTAACCATGCCTTTCCACTACCAAAACACAATAAAAACAAATTGTCTCTCTCTATGGTAGAGGAAAACTTATTATTAAACTTGAGCTAGCATTGTGCTATGTATTTCTATCTCTCTTAATTAATCAATTTTGTAATACATTTTCTAAATTAAATTGTTTTTTACCGCTTTTAAATTTAATTAATCTCAACACATGAAATATATTAATTTAGCCTTCAATTTTTTTTGCCAATGCAATCAGATTGTAAGTAATCTTGTAAGACCTAACCTACTATCTTGTGTCATAAATAAGCAATACCATCATATTTACAAATGTAAACAAAACTTAAAATAAATTCTAACATTATTAACTAAATAAAAATACTTTTTAGACTTAGAATTTATGACTGGTCATCAAAAATAGTAACATCAATGTTAGCAAACGTAAATATTCATAACCACAAGTATTGCATCACTAAAATGTAATAATAACATGTTGTTTACTTACGTATGGGGTGCAGCAGCTCGTCGCTGGCGTCGTCCGAGTGGTGCAGCTTCAGGATGGCCGTTAACCACGCGTGTAGCTCCTGCTCGTTCTCCGCCACTATACACAGCTGCTCCTCCCGCGTGAACAAGGCGATCACATGCTTCTGCTTCAGATCCAATCTCCTAGTTATGTTGTAGCAGCTCTTCAACGGCAGGAACCTGCGCGGCGCGGCCCCCGCGCGGAACTTTTTCTCCGACTCGTAGTACTCCAGGCGTGCGGGACACTCGTTGGTTTCGGCGCGCAAAACGAAGTACTTTTTCTTCATGGTCTTCAATTTTCGGAGGTGGCCCTGGCGCACTACGGCGCCGCCCGATATCGCAGCCATGTCAGCGTGCCAGCATCCCAGCCCCTAGCCCGTAGACACACGACGAGCGCTTAACCTTGAAGTTGTTTACGTGACGAAAGTCACACGGAATTCTAGTCCTAACCGTCGAAGCGACTAAAAATACGTACTATCTCTTTTCAATAGCGCGTAAATAGTAATGTGCTTGGTAATTAATCGAATGGCGTAGCAAATTTGCGTCCGGCGTAGTCCGTCGGGCGCCATATGACCGCTAACACTTTAACTCTCTACCGCGCCACTACGATTCCCGGACGAGATAACAACACTTGCGTCGCGTTGGAAATATCAAGATATATCAACAACAAACACTTTTCACTCCATAATTCGGTACGCTCGCTATTACACTCGGTCATTCACAGACACTTTAGTTTAGAAAGAGATAAAATCATTCATAGTAAACGTAATCTGCACGCCCTTCCGTAGGAACTAGGAACGCAGGGCATGGGAATCACGCCGTCGTCATGCCAGTGCAATATCAAAACAATATATTTTTTGCCTTATATCGCCTAGAAACGGTGGTGCAAAACGCAAAATTTGCAAGAATCAAATTACACGACTACTACGTTTGTATGTTGTGCACTTGATTTATAAAAACTCATGTATTTGCGCGTCGTCTTTTATTGGTTCCTCGCTATTGCGTGTCATTTATTTGAACGACGATTACGAGAAAATAGTACTATAGCAAAGTTCGGATTCACGTACACAAAACATTACTTTACCAAGTGTCAGTCAGTTACTAGAGCCAGTCGTTCAAAGTTTATAGTTTATAAATAACTAAAAACTGTAAATAAATTTTTAATAAAGTTTCAATACTTGATCTAATATCATTCTAACATATTAGTAATGCTTTGGAGAATTATTATATATTAATAATCACCAAAAATATTTGATAATCAGAAAAAGTCATTAATATTTTATTATTTATTGGAGGCAGATATCTTCATTTTTATTAAATTTAACCTCGCGATTACGTATCCTGTGAATTTCGCTTGAATTATTTCTAAAAAAAATCTTACTTTTTTAACTGTACACGTATTCGAACGGTAGGTCAACATTTCCAAACAGTGACTTCTATCTACATGGACAGGTTGCTGCTTGGTAATGACTGATTTTTCTTTGTTCCCACTTAAAAGCACCTGTCTTATTGACTGTTTATCTTGTCTTTTCTCTATAACTAGTTAAAATAACTGACCGCTATAACTGGATAGGTTGTTGCTTGGAAACGACAGCTTCGAATTAACACACCTGTTGAAGTTCCTGACAGCTAATTTTATCTCTATTTTTAGTACGAATCCCCACCGCCGCGCCACTAACAACCGCAACCGTCAGCGCCAAAATGGCGAAAATCAAATGGTTACAAATTGCCACGATTTATAACCCGTCCATGTATAGAGATCAGTTGTTCGAATCATCAGTGCTACAATCAGCACTGGACAACAAATGGGAAAAATCAAATAGGCACAAAAACCTACGATATATAACCTATCCTTGTTTATTTTGTGTACTCTTCTGTCTTTGCTCTTTGTTTAATGTGTCCGCAAAGAGTATATAAAAGATGTCAAAGAGCAAATTAATGATGTCCGTCCTCCTCTTTTGTGTCCATTTATGTCCGTCATTCATTCACTCATTTGCTTGCTAAAAAAGGTGCAGAAACGGGAATTGTTGGCAAATTTGTTGAGATAAATACGTGTTAAAGATTTGGCTACCTGATATTTGGCGTTCTACTCATTTTAAGTTATTCTAAATCTTGAATTGTGAATTTGGATGAAACGTGAGTGAAGTGTTTACATTGTGAAATTTCAATAAATTTAAGTTGCCGTGAGATGTAAGTACGCAGCGAAAGGCGAGTTTTTGTGAAGTTTTCGGTGTTTTGAGTGTTTGGTGGTGGTACTTATGGACCGTACCTTTGTACAGTTATCTGATATCGGCGAAAGATAAAAGATTTTCGTTCAGGTTTTATCGTTTTTGTATTATCTTCATTGCAATCTGTGTAAACAGTACAGAGTTGCAACAGTGCCTTAGCTCTTGCGGTTTTGTATTTTGCAACCATCATTAGAGCGTGAAAACCGTGTCAAGCTTGTATCCTTCTATGTTTTCAAACTTATCAAAACCATTCTTAAATTGACTTTTTCTAATTGGATCATTTATTACAGATACTGAGTCTAAGAGACAATGGCTCACAGATCATAATATCTAAGGTAAAGTTGTAAATATTTACATTCCTTAAATGTATTCATTAATAAGTGTTATATGATGGAATTGTAGCATATTTGTAATTTATTCATTTACTTCTAAATATATATCTTACAGCAGTATTATGGCATCTGGAACATCATCATTAGAAAGCAATGGAAGTAATGGTGAGTGTCTATTTTTTTTCTATACACTACAATATTTGTTAATTTATTTCCTCATGTCACTTTTTATTGTATATACAAGATTGAAATGTCACACTATTGTTTATATAATATTGTTGACATTATTTCATTAAACAATAGATGCAATTTATTTATTTACTTTATATATAACTTTTTTCAGAGTCTATATCTAACAGTTATGTGAACAATGAAAGGCACAATCCTAGTCAGATACAGAGCATTCCCCACCAGATAGACTATGAGGTGCTTACTGCCAATCAGTGCTATGAGAAGCAGAATTACACCGTCAAGGGCCACAGCCACAGCATGAGCGGTACTTATGAACCACTGCAGTATGACGTCATTAACAAGCAGACCAACGAAAGCTTAAAGCAACAATGTGAGAAAGCACTCCACGACTTAAATCAGTTAAGGCGGCAACATACGGAAACATCAAGAAGATGTGAACATGTCATGAAGGTTAGGATATATAAATAAAACATATTACTTGTGAGATGCAATAGATCCCAAATATTCTAATAATGTTACATTACCAACCATCAAATTCAGATTAATCATATTATAATTGATTGCCATGATTTTTTTGTCAATATATGACTCATAAGAATAACTTTCTTTTCTATTAATTTCCATTGCAGGAGTTGGAATATTTCCGTGGTCAGCACAGAGCAGCTATGAACCAGCTGGAGGTGTCAGCTCAGGAGGCTAGCAGTCTGCGCAGCAAGTATGGTGACCTGCTAAATGACAATCAGCGGTAAGATATTCATAATATGTATTACATTTATCTAGTCTTTAAAATGTCTATAATTGTGACAAATAAATAGTCCAGATTTTAACACTATATTAACACCATCAATTTACCAAATGTTTAGAAGTCTGTTTGATTCTTTAATTAGTAATTTTATCTGAAAATTTAATATTTATCAGATATAAGATTCCAAAATAGTGCCATTACAGTAGTCAGAAATAATCTATTAATGTTTTTCAGTCTGGAGAGAGAGGTGCAACATTTACAGCAGAGCGGCAACCCTGAGGGCAGCTCGGACGCACTTGTACACACCCTCAGGAAGTATGAATCACTCAAAGAGGAGTTTGATTGTTTCCAGAAAAGGTGACTTAGTTATCTTTTTCATTGTAAATATTTCTAACAAAAAAAATATCTGTAACAAATGTTTTATATTTAAAGATTTAGCGTTTTTGTATTAAACTTGATTTTTATATGTATCGTAGATATGACGACTTGATAGAGACTCACAACACGACGCTTGAGAAGCTCCGCAGTGTGCAAGACGAGAACAGTCGGCTGAAGACACAGTGTCATGATCTCACGCAGGAGAGGAATGCTGTGGTCAGTTCATACATCCCACTCAAATACATACAAAAATGACAACCATTTAGATGCATACGAAAGGGAACATATCAGTGAACTAACTCGCAGCTAAGCTCAATTTGTATCTATAGAGTGTTAAGATTTATGTTTCAAGCTGCAAACTATGATTCACTAGGCCGACAATTTGATTGGTGAGCTGCAGCTCAGTGGTTTGAATCTATACTTTTGAATTATTTTAGAACTGATTTACACACATCTAGCTTATATAGATCTCTTGCCGGATCGGATTGTAATTGTATTGATTTGGTAATGTATGTGCAGATCCGCGAGCGCAACGCTCTGAAGCAGCAGGTGGCGAGCGTGGTGCGTCAGTGGGAGGGCGGAGTGCGCGAGCGCGCCGACATCAAGCGCCTCACTGACGAGCGCAACGCCGCCATGGCCGAGTACACGCTCATCATGAGCGAGAGGTAACGTCATAGCTCGCTAGGGGAGCGAAGGGAGCAGCTAACTACCCCCCTTAAAGATTCGAAAAAATAATTAAGAGACACACATACTTCCTACCTCCCCCCCTACATGTAACCTAGACCATCGGCCGGTGAGCCACTCGGCAGCAGCTGTAAGTTATCTTGTGTTGCAGGGACACGGTGCACAAGGAGATGGAGAAGCTATCGGATGACCTGCAGGCGGCGCTGAAGCGTGTTGCCGCGCTGGAGGCCGCGCTGCAGGCCAGCCGCGACGAGCAGCGCGCCACCGCCCTCCAGGTCACCTCTCACTCTGACTCACCAGGGCGCGTGCTGATGTGTGATAATGTGGCGTTATTGTGATGTGATGCGTTGTGATGTACGCAGGCGGAGAGCTTGCGTCGTGAGATAGAGTCTGCGCTGGTGGACCGCGACCGCGCCATCAAGGAGTGCACGGACCTCAAGACGCCGCAGAACACCGCCACGCTCGCCAAGTCCAGGTCACCGTCTCCACGTATCCCACACAGAGCCTTATAGCCATTTATGGCTACTAAACGACACCCATAAAGTAGAGTTCGCAATCTACATTAATGGAGAATATAATACAATGAGACGATCTCTCACTTAGTTTTGATTTCCCTAAGTATTGAATTACGACTTTGAGTGTGTTTGTATTGCTAAACTAACATTTTTTTTAAACTGTGTACTCGGCCTTATCTCTCTTTCTACCTGAATTTTTACAAATTCTATACTGTGTCATATGTTTCCAGACAAGACAATTCCGGCTACCATCATTTAGGGCTGGCGAGCGGCGGTAACGACGGCTTTCTCAACGGACAGCATCCCAATGATCCTTCATTAGATAAGCTACAAGGTAATTATTATGTTTGTATTTTCCACATGTATTTAGTGTAGCAGTTATACATGTATTGTTATTTGTTGTCAGGTCTGGTGGGTCTGTCGGCGGAGGCGGCGGACAAGGAGCGCGTGGACAACCTGGAGCAGGCCAACCAGGAGCTGGAGCGTCTGCGCAAGCAGCTCGACCGTCTGCAGGCGGAGCTGACTGATGCGCAGAGAGAGGCTGAGGTAACTGACCCTCATCAACACTTGCAAACAGACAGACAGACAGACAAGTAAACATTATTTTTTTTAATTAAATAAACTCGTTACAGGTATCAAAACGCAGAAGGGACTGGGCGTTTGCAGAAAGGGATAAATTATTACAAGAACGAGAAAGTGTTAAAGCACTCTGCAATAGACTCAGAAAGGTAATAAACCCTTTTATAATAGACTTGTCGTCGTCAAATGAAAAATATGTTATGTTCCGTGGTTTTTGTGATATGTTTTAGGAGCGCGACCAGATGGTGGGCGAGCTGGCGGACGCGCGGCGGCACGGCAACAAGAAGGGCGCGGAGGGCAAGGAGGGCAAAGCGCTGAGGGTGAAGGGCCACGAGGACAAGGCGCGTCTGCCACCCAACAGGGACTCCGCTGTAGATGCAGATGTTCAGGTACCACTAAGGATCTATTTTAGCCCTGGATTTCATTTGTTTGGAGAAAATGTTGAATATTTATCAAAAAACGCGCTCGAAATCAAGATTTATTAATAGTGTGAAATTAGGGTTAACATAGAATTATTTTTGTATTAAGGCATACTGTTTTCTGTTTAATCAAAGAGTGTGAGAGAGATATGAATATGTAATGTAAATGTGAGACAATGTATGTGTTAGGACTTCGAGTGGGAGATAATCGAGGTGGAGCTGAGCGGGCTGGGCGCGGACGGCGAGCTGGGCTTCGAGCTGGCGGGCGGCCGCGAGGAGCCCTACTACCCCAACGACACCAGCGTCTATGTCACCGCCGTCAAGAAGGGCTCCATTGCTGACGGCAAGATCAGGTCCGGATTGTAGCATATTACTGTTCGCTTATATCTTATAAATATGAATATTTAAATGGATGGATGGCTGTGTGTTTATAGGTATTTCCAGTACAACTGCATGAATCTTGCTGAAATTTGGCATAGTTGAAGAATATAATCTGGATGAGCACATAAGCTACTTGCTAAGTTTATTTAAAAATCCGGGCGACTAGTATATAGGTAGCTAGGTAAAGAATCGTTCAGTACAAATGAGTGAAAGTAAATGTAAGATGATGTATGTGCACGTGCAGGGTGCTGGACCGCGTGGCGGAGGCGTGCGGCGCGTCAGCGTGGGCGCGGGGCGGGGCGTGTGCGGCGGCGCTGCGGGGCGCGCTCGCGTGCGGCGCCGCGCTGCTGCGGCTGCAGCGTGCGCGGTATCTGCGCCGCCTCGTGCGTCTCGCCGGCGGCGTCGCGCTGCACCACGGTACTGCGCACTGCACACTGCGCACTGCCCCACTGTCCCACTGTCACACTGCCCACTGTCACACTGCCCACTGTCACACTGCCCACTGTCCCACTGTCCCACTGCACACTATTCTAACTCAACAATTTAAATTTTAGATTTGTTTCTCATTACGTAAATATTTCACGTAAATATTTTTGTCAGGTATTTTCGTAAGCAAAATAGCGTGCGGTAGTGCCGCGGCCAAGGAAGGGAACATTTACGTGGGCGACAGAGTTGTTAGCGTAAGTATTACATAAATATGTATTATAAAAGAGACGTAGAGATACATGAGATGTAAATGTTGCAGATAAACAATCGTTCGCTGGAGGGCGTGAAGAGCGTGTCGGAGGCGATGGCGATGCTGAACGACTGCCAGTACGACTCCGTGCTGCTCACTGTGCTGCGCCCGCTCTACCCCTGCTGCGACCCCCGCAACAGGCACGTCTCATACACACCCCCACACACACACACATACATGCAGTTAAAGGGAGCCAGTAGGTTAAAAATGTTTAATACGCAAAACTACTTGTAAATTTTGGAAAAAAAACAATTTTCCTAGCCAGCCCCTTAGACCTAACCTAAATCATCAGCTAGCGACGCTCGTGCACTTAAACCATACATAATGCATTCGTTTATACATCAAATTTAAATCTGAATTTGAAAGGGCAAAAGGTAAATTCGTTTTATAATAGTCTTGGTGTGATTTTTAAAACCTGATTTGTTTTAAACAGATCAAGTATGTTTAAAATGTGAACTTATATTTAAAAAGTCAGATTTTGATGTTAAAAAATACACAAAGAGGTTTGATGTTAGCCGTGTACTTACAATATCATCTGTTGTAGATAGACATATTGTTCAGATGAAATTCCTAAACAAGACAATAGCAATACTCCCAAGTTGTATCTCAGGTATGTTTGTAAACATGTTGCTTACACAACAACTGTCACAAAACAATGTCATTTGACATCCTTACATTGTTTGACATTTCTCATTTTGATTGTATTTTAACACTTACATTTGAAAACGTAAGCCTCTTAGCGTGCAATTAGCAAAAAAAAGCATTTTTTTCTGTGTTTTAGTTAAAAAAAGTACAACAGTGTTGATATTTAAACATCCTTTGGAATATTTATATAATCTGTGAAAAATACAAGGTCCTTTCATTCATAATCGATGTTTAAAATAAAATATCCTGTGAAATGATTATTGTTATTCATATGATTTTATAATAAAGTTATTTGAAATATTGAAGTCCTGCAGTTGCTTTACTCTAGCATAGAGAGTTGCATGAATATTATGCGTTGTGCAGGCTGGCGTCGTACGAGCACGCGTATGCAGACAAAATGGTGAACTTCTCCTCACAGACAGATGAACCTTGTTCACAGTTTCTGCCCCCACACGATCCTAAGGTAAACTTTTTATATCATTTTTAAGTTCAGACGTTCACTGCTTATTATTTTTAATTGTGTACTAAGATGTTGGTTCAAATCCTCCTTTTGATTGTATCCGTGAATGTACTTGAAGCTGAGTTGTAATGATTAAAATAAGTATTTGTTAATTATTTTAATAATTTGCTAATATTTTCTGACAAAAATAAGAATAAAATGAGAACAAAAAAAAACTTCTTTATATAAAAATCGTAGTGGCATTAAACGTATTAATTGATATATTCAATAAGATATGAAGAGTAGGAGTATTTATAAGACGAGGGTTGTGTCGGTGCACGTTGCAGGTGCACATCGAGCACGGCGTGGCGGAGTTGGAGCGGCGCTACGTGTACCACGTCGCCGCGCCCAGCCACTCCAGCCATCCCAAGATACACCACGAGAGAGGTACCTCGCACATCACACCGCATCACACCGCATCACACCTCATCACACCGCATCACACCGCATCACACCGCATCACACCACATCACACTCGCCAAACTTCTGCAAACCTAATTAACAATGACCGAAAGCTACTAATTAGGCCTCCTACTATTCGTCTATATTCAAACATTAATACTTTGAAAAAGTTTTGATTTTAATAATTTGATAAAATTGGACAGATTATTTTATAGATAAAATGTTATGGTTATTATAAAAAGTAAATGATTCCCAATCGTGATAGTAGTTAGATTTAGTTTCTACAGCTTCTTTTGTATAGTAATAAAGTACGCGAAATTGATAACAATAAAAAGATATATATGTGAGAATGAGTCCGCTGCGATATCGACGATCTACAGCTGCCGCGATAACATTTCTCAACACCGTATCTATTGTAAAGGTTATTGCACACTTGTACTTGTGTCATTTGACTTTATATTGGTAGAGTAAAACATTTATCAATTTTATTAGAATCTTTGTCGAATAATATTCCTCGTTGTATCCTTTAAATAAATAAAAAATGCTATTTGTAATTATTTTTAATACTCGTTGTTGATTGGTGAATTCCCTTCACTTAATAATAAAGCTATAAGATTTTAGTATATTAAGAGTTGGAAATCTTAAAATAACGAGTAGTTTTCACTGTCAAAATACTTGTAAAAAA